AACAGCAGAAAACAAGCTTGCTCCATCCTCAGTATGACACCCCTTCAATTACTGAAACAAGGCTATCATATCACTTCTTAACCTTCTCTTCTCCAGGCTAACCATACCCAGCTCTCTAAGTTTCTCCTTAGAGGGCATGGTTTCCAGACCCTTTACCATTTTGGTTCCCATCCTCTGGACTCGCTCCAGCTTGTCAACATCCTTTTTGAATTGTGGTGCCCAGAACTGGATGCAGTATTATTCCAGGTGAAGCCTGACCAAAGAAGAAAAGAGTGGTACTATTACTTCCCTTGATCTAGATACTATAATCTATTGATTCAGCCTGGAATCTCATTGGCCTTTTTAGCTGCCACATCACACTGTTGACTCATCTGCAGCAACTACAGGACCACAGCACTGATCTCCCATGCAAGCAAAATTATGCTCAAAATTCCACAACATAGACTCCAACCATACATGGAGAGAGAAATCCCAGAAGTCCAAGCGGGGTTCAGGAAAGGAAGAGGCACCAGGGATCACATTGCAAACATACAATGGCTAATGGAGTCCAGTAGGGAATTCCAAAAGAAAATCAGCATGTGCTTTATAGACTATAGCAAAGCCTTTGACTGCATAGATCAGGGGTAGGCAACCTTTCCCCTTTAAGGGCCGAGGGACTTCAGCTCCCAGAAGCCTCAGTTATGTTGGCCAATAGTCCCATGTTGGCCAACAGCTCCTGGGATTCTGGGAGCTGAAGTCCCTCGGCCCTTAAAGGGGAAAGGTTGCCTACCCCTGGCATAGATCATGAAAGGATATAGAATGCCCTTATGGGAGTGCCAACACATCCAATAGTTCTAATGAGGAAATCTGTACTCAGGACAAGAGGCTACTGTCAGGACAGAAGACGGTAAAACTTGTGGTCTCTTCCAACTCTATGATTCTATGATTCTAAACAGAATGGTTCCCAATTGGCAAAGGAGTCAGATAAGGCTGCATCCTTTCACCCGATCTGTTCAACTTGTATGCAGAACATATTGTAAGGAAAGCAGACTTGGAAGAGGGACTTGGAAGAGGGAGGAGTGAGAACAGGAGGAAGGAATATCAACAATCTTTTGCAGATGATACCATAATACTAGCAGAAAACCTCACAGACCTGGAACACTTACTAAGGAAGATCCAAGAAGAAAGTGCAAAGGCAGGTTTAATGTTGAACATCAAGAAAGCAAAAATAATGACCACAGAGGACCTTCACAAGTTCAACCTAGACAATAAAGAAATAGAAATAGTGAAAGAATTCCCATAGCTGGGATCAAACATTGATAGAAATGGGGACTGAAGTCAGGAAATCAGAAGAAGGCTAAGAATGGAGAGGGCGGCTATGAAAGAACTAGAAAAGATCCTAAAATGCAAAGACATGCAACTCAGCACAAAAGTTAAAATCAAACAAGCCACTGTATTCTCCATTACAATGTAGGGATGTGATAGCTGGACTGTTAAGAAAGAGGATAGGAAGAAAATCAGTGCATTTGAGATAATATGGTCCTGGAGAAAAGACTGAGGATCCCATGGAGAGCCAAAAGGACAAACAAGGGGGTCCTACGGCAGATCAAGCTGGAAATCTCCCTGGAAATCTCCCAGCTTTCTAATCTGCTCAGGTCGTTTTGAATGTTGATCCTCTCCTCTGGGGTATTAGCTACTCCTCCTAATTTGATATCATCTGCAAATTAGGTAAGCATGCCCCCTATTCTTTCTCTATGGATGCACACACACAAATACACACATGAAGCAGTCTATTCCTCTGAGAAACAGCTTTTACAGCCAAGAAGAGGTTGAGAAACCCTGTTTTAGTTTGTGGATTTTATGAGGCATAAATGTGTGTCAGATGAATGGATCTTGGCTGGCAGACTATTACTCCTTGGGAAGTGTGGGTGGGAGATACACGATCGCTGGGAACTGAAATCCGTGCAAGAACAAACAGAGATCCTTTCAGAAATGGCAGCCATCAGGAAAACAAGGAGGGTGTGAAATAACTTGTATTGCCCTTCCTTGTGAAATCATAGATCTTCAAAGCATGCAAAGAAAGTGTCCCAAGTACAGATTCAAGCAGCGCGATAAAAGCCTTTGAACCTTGCACTCCTCTCTCCTGTACCTTAATCTAATCTCATGGGTGCAAGAGTCTTCCAGATGAAGCAACATCGCAGCAGATGATGAAAGAGGTTTGCAGGCCATGAGAAGTTTTGGAGTCTTCACATTACTGCAAGATTCTTACTGACAAGAGGTTCCTCCTTATGTTTAGGTCAGGGGTAGGCAACCTAAGGCCTGGGGGCCGGATGCGGCCCA